TCATGATACCAAAGAAAGATCTGAGCAAATGTGAGAACGACACAAGCACCACATTACTGTCAGTACCAGGAAAGGCTTTCAACAGTGCTGCTGAACCAGACGAAAGATTGAGTAGACATACAATTTTGAACTCAACAGATTGGATTCCGTAAGGACCTATCGTGAACGGACCAAATTCCGACACTACGCATCACTGTTGAACAATCAGTTGAATGGAACTCGTCACTAAACATCAACGTTCTTGATAATGAGATAACGTTTGACAGTGGGGAAAGAAGAACATTACGGAAACTTTTTCAACACTACGGAGTGCCTGAGAAGATCGTCAACATCATACGGAATTCATACGACGGACTACACCGCAAAGTCGTGCATGAAAGGCATCTGACTGGCGCATTACAATTAGGGATCGTAATTAGACGCGGCCGCCTACTCTCTCCTTTTTTTTCTTCCGGTGTTTGACTGGATTGGGAAGACCTCCACATCTTAAGGGAATAATGGAATGAAATGGACAGATTGGGTTCAACGAGATGATATGGACTTCGCACATATCCTGACCCTTCTATTCCATACACACAAACAAGTGCAGACCAAGACAACCGGTGTTGTAGCAGCCTCTTCGTCAGTAGACCTCAACATACATAAAGGAAAAAGCGAGATTCTCAAACGCAACACGGAGAACACCAACCCAATCACACTTGATGGAGAAACTCTGGGATTGTTATAATCTCTCACGTGCCTGGAGAGCATCATCAGTGAACAAATAGGACTCGATGCAGATGTAAAGGCAAGGATTGGTGAAGTAAGGACAACATCCGGGTAAAGTAGTAAATTTGTCAAACTGAATGTTTATTATTATCTAAATAAAAATCATCACGCGGTTTTTCAGTCAACAAATGTTCAACAAACTCAATGATCTAAGTTATATCGAGCAGACAAGTTGATAAAAGACACAAGGTTATTACCAGTTCCAAAAAATAAAGATTTTATTAACGCTAGATTATTATCCTGTCGTTTTTAGATAGGCCACAGACAATTTATTCAAAATCAATATTCAACTCTACAAAAGTATCAAGAACAAAATTACTGAGAAATGAAACATTAATTACTCGTTACAAAATTAAATACTTCCATTTCCGAAAAAGTTTTTCAATCCCCCAAAAAGTTCATAACTTCTATCAGTCCAAGCGACAAAGTTTAAAGGAGAAACGAGTAAATATTATAGATGGAGTACATAAGATGTCAAGTAGAACAAGTTTGATGTAGTCCATGAAAATAATAGATATTCGGTATAAAAGTAAGGCAGAAAAAAACTACAATGAAGAATGGATAGTAACAGTCTCACCTAGAATCTGAAGCTCACCGAAACATACATCAGAAAGGATTTCTACACCGGTAGATACTATTAGTTTTACCTATAGAGAAAACCAGACTGGTGCCTGACAAGTTCTTCATTCAGATAGTCAAATAGAACAGCTGGAGCACAAGATTATGTTTATTAAACCCTAAAATTTTTCACCTTTCAATATAAATAATGGAAAATATAATTCATACACAAAATAAGGAGGTAAATGAATACTCGAGCCATAACGTTTCGACGCTACTCAGATATTTTCGGCCAGCCCTTAACCATCCAACCTTAAATGTTACAGGATCATAAAGGATAACTTCACATTTACACATGAGGCAACAAATTACACTACTGAATTGTGTACGTATAGGTACTTTTGCGCAAATTTACACAAAACTTGCAGGCGGACTTGAGACATCTATCTCTTTTTTGCTGTATTTTTCACTGTTTTGCTGCAAGTTGTCATGCAGACGACCAACGTAGGCAATCTGTGTCCATGATTGGGTGCCAACCCGAGTTTCACGGGATTTGCGTGACCTCCTATATTACGTCGAAGGTACACCTCGAGGCTAAAAAATAACTTGAACTAATATTGCGTCATATCCAGCTATTATGGCTAAAGCGAAGTTAACTGTTTTACTGGTAAGAATGGAAACAAGAAACAGAGCGACTGTTACCTCGTGGACAAGTCCATTTTGCTCAAATGATTGATGCGCGCTTGTCGCCTTTGAACGTAAAGGGGACCAGTGAACCGCCAGATGCACTGATTAGGACCAAGTGAAATTTTATTGACCCTACAGTACTCACCCACGCTTAAGTTGTTTCTGCAGAACGATAAACAGTGAGTGCTGAATATTTGTTCGATAACCGAAGTAGAAAATATCGAAAAAAACATAAAACATCAAGAGTTTAACTTTGGACCTATGCCAATGATATTGGTGGGAAAGCAGTCCAGTTTTGGATTAGACGTGGGAATTTCATTTTCAGTTTTCAGGCGACACTTTCGACTGTGTAAACTGACTATTCGCGCGAATGATTATGTCAGACCACCAATTAAACAGAAGAGACCGTAAATCGTAGAGTATCTGAACGGTCGATATACGTACGGAAATCATCTGTTAGATAATAATCACCAGGAAACAACACTTCATTCATGGATAATTATGCCAGGCAATTGTTGGAAGCGATCTGTTTTGACAGTTATATCGATTGTACCCACCGTATTTTAAGACCGTAAGTTTCCAATAGTGATATATGGTAGTGTTGAAGGATCGATATGAAGTGACCTATCTAATGCTGACGAATCCTTGGTGTGGCGAAAACACACGAAAACACACCTCGTGTTTTGAATAGTTTACGTCTTCGCATTTTCTCACAAAATAAGTATGGTGAACCAGAATCTTATAACGGGTTACATGGTCTGATCGGTATTTGTGGCGCAAAAATAGTCAGTCACTTATTGTTTAGTTTACCTTTTAGAGTTGTACAGCTTATCTCGAGTAAAATACATCAAGTTAGACAGAATTTGAATGATTACACTAGTTCGGATGTATGCTACCATGTCAACGAAAAATAGCAGCGTTTTTATACATGCTGAAAATGTGATGAACGTGGACTCGATGTCACTAGGTTAATGGCCGAATTCGCAAACGCGGATATATGAAGTTTATGGTGTTTATTAATCAATCATTATGCCTTAGTTTAACCTAAGTTAATAGTTACTTGTATCACAAGTTTAATTTCCCCGAATTTTAGTGCTTGTCATTACTACCCTAGGACGACGCATGTGAGCATCAAGCAATAAGCTTATAATACGATGAGCAAAATAAAGCAGAAGGCAGTGTGGAAAGCCATAGTATGTGAGAAAAGCAGCGAATAAAGTTGTTTAGTTGTCGTTTGAAACCACGAATCCATATTTCAGCTTACTGGGGTTAAATGCAAATGACGTGATTGCTCAACCATCAATCACATTGGTGAATTTTAGTAAACCAAATGACATAAAATGGTCAGCCGTCCAAGATATAGATGAATTCGTCTAGTGAGGAGTACGAGGCCTGTATTAAAAGCGAGGTACTTTATTGATCTACAGTTACATTTTGATAGTGAACTTCTTAACTGCCAAGCATAATGTTGTGGTCGTTATGACACGATGTCCGATAGTTTACACTGATACTTACTACTTCTAAACGTCAACCCGACAACTCAAGAGGAGAGATGGAGAATACTAAAGAATGTATTGTATTGTATATGTGCTGAAACTCACATATATCCACATTAAGACGTTAGATTGGTCGATATATTAAATCCCATTTCTTCCAAATGAGTCATTTATAGGACAATAGCATGCAATTATCACTCAACGATTGAATGGTCAAAGCTGATCTGAGGTACAACAACACGATAAGTAAAAACGATAAAGGCAGTGGATGCAGTAGTTCTTCCTCTTGTTTGCTAACCTCATGTTTTAACCTAAACAGAACCGGGTCTGGGGAATGGTGTATTACTTTTGTGATTTTCAATCCTCGTCTAGCCATGTGTCTCTAAAAATCTGTGTGTGTGAAGTATGGGAGGTGACTCACTAAAAGAAAAAAATATTGGTCTTTTGCGCATAAACACTGATGGTTAGATAGAATAGAAAAAAGATTGGGCGCTTATTGTTGGGCGAAAACACAGATGATAGTAAAAATGAATCCCAGAGATAGATCACAAATAAATAATTAGGAAAACTTACATGCCCAAGGTTACTAACTGAAAGGAATCAAGAGTAGTGAACATAAAACCTTCGGATTACTGTGAACTTTTTTGGAGCGTCCTCGTAAATTCTCTGTTTCGGAAGACAAGAAGAAGGTTCAGCTTGGCCAGTCGAGCTTCACTCGGAATAGCCAAGCTTCCGTATTAAGCTCGACTGGCCAAGCTGAACCTTTTTCCGTTGTCATATCGCAGAACTAGAGGCGACTTGATTACAGTTTTCAAATTGCTTAGTGCCGAATTTGCACCTGATATGCCCTCATTTTTCTTGTTTTCCAAAACAGAGAATCTACGAGGACACTCCAAAAAGTTCACAAGCCAAGAACAAATTACTTGTCAGCTGACTATCGACTTTCCCATCGAATCATCAACGAGTGGAACTCATTACATCAGCACGTGGTTGAGGCTCCATCCGTCGACTCTTTCAAAAGAAAGTTGGATCAACTGAGGGACCACCATTACCAGGACTAACACAGGCCATCAGGCCTCCTGTCCTTCCCAAACTGAAGCTGAAAACTGAAACTGAAGACTGGTTTTATTATCTTTTATTAGAGTCATTCAAAAGCGAGTGATTGGCTCGAAAATGAGATTGCCAAAAGTTTGTCTTCCTCAACATGATGAAGGAAATAACCACCAGATATACTTTTAGTTGGTTTATAGATTATTTCAATACAGCACCGACATAAAGACATCAGATATTGAGGAAAATAAATTGTCATTATGTTGTTTGTTAGTGTAAATCCCCTGTCGAAATCACGTAGTTACTATAACGAGTTCTTATGAGCACGAATTATGACGTGGTTAACAAGTAGCGAGTAACATATCACTCAAAAAATCCTGTTTGTTTGAACAGATATGTTTTCGTGGTGGCACATTTGATAGGCAACCGTGGTTGCTAAACATGGTAGGTCGGGTCATACCGTTCATGGCCCTGTTTGGGACATCAATTGATTCCTAATTTTTCTTTGTGCAGAGTGAAAACACATTAATCCGAACGAGGAAGTTTATGTCTAATCGCTTGCTATGTCGCAAGCAAATGGTCGTTGACATTTTACACCCTGGACGTTGCGTCCTTTCAAGAAATGAAATTCGAGAAAAGCTTGCTAAGACCTATAAAACTTCCCCAGATGTCGTTTTCGCGTATGGTTTCCGGACTCAGTTTGGAGGTGGCAAGTCAACAGGCTTTGCTCTTGTTTACGATTCTCTGGATCATGCTAAGAAGTTCGAAATGAAATATCGTCTTGCTAGGGTAAGACAACGTATTATCAAGCGAAATTTTGTAGAATAAACTAGTGACAATTCCACCAAAAGGAAGAAAGTTAAAGAAGGAAAGAAAGAATAAAGCCAAGAAGATTCGAGGAACTAAAGCAAAGAAATCGAAGAAGGACTCTTAATTCTGTACAGTCCTGAGAATAAATGTATGGTTTAACTTGGCTCGGAAGTTTCTTGTCAATACAATCAATATAAGTTATTAATCCTGAAGTAGATGGCATTTATATGTTTTTGACAAGGCACCTTGTGCGTATGTTGATAGGTAGGTAGACTAATTACGCTGCGTAACCATTTCAAAAGAGCTTTAAAAAATTTACTGGCTTTGATAGGTATAGGTATAGCTTGCTAATTCTTTTTTCATCGGTTTTTTTGGCACAACATACAAACTTTTGGCTGTTGTATGTATTTTAGCACCAACAGATTTAGGTGACGCAGGTAGTCGAAGAAAAGAAAGCAATCGTTAATATATTCGACAACAAAACTGCATGGTACTTGTGAGTGTTTCATATAGCTAAAGAATTACCGGGGTTGAAATAAATTCCGCGTATACTGAAGGATGCGCTGCCACATCGTTGTGACTTATAAGGAATGGGATGTATTTCCGATATTTATTTGTTGTGTACTAATGTATTTGACTGGATAGTTGGTGATATCCTGTCACTGCCTGTTTTCGGTCCGTAGTGAAAATGTTTGGGTAGTGACGTGATTTAGAAGCTTCATTCTGGTTTTCTCAAACTAAATCTAGTGAGATGGTGGGGGTTTGTAGCTCGGATTATCTTGATGAAGTTTTGTTCTCTGAGCTGGATAGTATGGTCGTCGAGTTCTCACCGTTTTTCTGGACGACATCATAAGCACGTCTACCTGAAGTTTGTGCTGATGAATCTAGTGAGGTTGGAACTCTACACGATGCAGGCTTGAATGGCTTCATACATTCGACCCAATAATTATGGGCCTAACACTACTGAAGTTGATAGCGAATTCATGGAAACAATTTGTTCGCTCCAGTTTTCTGGTTTTAAATGTTATCTAGTGTTTGCCAAATCGCATACTTAGTTGCTATGTACTTTAATCACCGGGGTTTTCGTCGATTTACTTCTGTCAGCTTCGTCTATCGCGGTCATATAGCACTGGTTGACCATGTGATCCTATCATCGCCAATATTATTCGTTGACGTCAACTTATCTTAAAGTAAATGAAACTTGACAAGTAATTTGAGTATTGTTTAACTGGTAGTTCTATAACTCAATAAGAATTAAATCTCATGTTACAACCGGCTAAAGGATCATAGTACACTATTAAATCTTATCGTGTCCACGTGTATCAACAGTATATGCGGGTAGTTGTAATTTCTGAGTGCTAACGGATATTTCTTCGTCACGCTTTCCTTCACATCCCACCAATGCTAGCGTTTCGAACTTGTGCTATTTTTAACTACCGGAAACCACGCTCCAAACTACTTACTGAAGCATCCACTATTCGAACAAGGCCGTTGCATTAGTACAAAATAGTCTTTCCAGCATTCATAAGTTAGAAATAGCATTCATACTGCACAAGAGACTACGTTAATTAATGTTTGTTTTGGTGTTTTCTCAACCAATAATTTGTATTAAGAATGATCTTTAGGTCTCCGACCCATCAAAGTCTATAATGACGCAAGTTGGCTCGACTAGCTTTTGCCAACTTGCATCATTTATGGCGTAGGCGAAATATCCGTCTATCAAACAAAAGGACGTGTTTACTGCGCAGCAGTTCGTTCCGTTCTACTTTATGGCAGTGAAACATGGCTGGTAAGAGTAGAGGATATTCGTAGGTTACTAGTATTTGATCATAGGTGTCTTCGAAACATTGATCGTATATCATGGGGCCACCGAGTAAGTAACGCAGTTGTTAGGAAACGGGTACTAGGTAAGGATGGCAAATCAATTGATGACGTAGTGAAACTTCATCAGTTGAGATGGCTGGGACACGTGTTACGTATGCCCAACGACCGACTGCCTCGACGTGCGATGTCCAGTGGTATAGGAGTAGGTCGGAAGAAAGGTAGGGGCGGTCAGACCAAAACATGGCACAAGTCCATGAAGTTACCGACAAGTGGACTGAGCCATTTTGGTAGGTGTAGACTACCTGGTTGGGGATTGCGAGATGATAGCAACCGATGGTTAGAGACCCTGAAAGACATTGCTCGGAATCGTTTGCATTGGTGCAGGTGCAACCACTCTTTGTGTTCTCCCAAATTCTAATCTCCTGAATCCTCCTTGTCTCTTTTTCACTTTCCAAGTTTATTTCACTTGATTATACTCTTTAAATAACATTTTCAGACCCTAATCTTCCCGAAAACTGCTTATACTTTTACTACCTCTACCACTATGTGATTTGAATCGACTATTGTATCTCCGTGCTAATGTGGTTTGGCAACTCGAACTGATGTACGTACGTACGAAGTTCTATGTTGTTACTGACTGACTGAAAGTCTATAATTAATAAACTGGTTATTTATATACACTTTTAGTTATCCGCCAGTTATTTACATATGAGGTAAATAATGTTGTTTAAAAATAGCAGAAAACGAATCGCACAACCGAACCATAGAGATGAATCAATCCAAAAAGGAATTTTTAAGTACTGTTTTAACAAACTAATTCCAATCAGTCCAGCATTTTTTCAAGCCATAGATTCATGTAGTTTTGTGAATCCGCTCGCAGTGTTTTTCCCCTCAGTATTTGAAAAAAAAAAACACCAGTTAGGTGTTAATGCAATGGATTTTGCTATGCGGTGAGATTGGAGCACATAATGCTGCTGATATACATCTAAGTCTTTCTTGTGTAGCTTTTCTTGAATTTTCTGCTTCTAGAAGAATTGTACGCATTTCTGATTCCACCTGTTTAAAAGTAGGATGAAAGTAAAGAATTTTCTTGTCAACATGATAAAACTACTGTCTAATTAGCTCTAGATGTTCGAAGAAAATTAAAATTACGAAATATAGAGGTCACCCTAAAAGTGTGTTGGTTCAGGTTGTTCTATTACACTTTTAGAGACTAAAATAAGGAATTATAATGTCCGAGGAATTAAATATCGTATTCTGGAGTTCAATATTAAGATCCTTGATAATCTAACTAAAAATAAAATCATCTGTTCAGTTAAAAAATAAATGTGATAAATATTATCTTCTGGAGCCAAGCTTCGATTAACCTTCTTATATGTTCTATAAAAGATGTACTCCATTTGAAACACCGCTGTATACATTTAAAGCTTCTCTGGAGCTACACATATCAACCATAGCCAGAGTTTTCCTTTATCTTTTATGCAAGAGTTCATTCCTGCATGGTTTTATAAGGATAAGGGACTATTATTTAATCTAATCAACCTATGTCTAGAAATACTTAAGATTTACGAAGATTTGTTGATCATTCACTTCTCAGAGCTATGTAAGTTTTAAGTATTCATGGTTGGAAAATTGACTTTTGTCTTTAGTTATTATTTTCACTCTGATTATAATTTAGAACCCACGACTGGTTTTGTACGTCCAAACCTTTTTTCTGTAAAGTTATTTGGTCAGTCAGTTTACTTAATCTTGATACTGGTTCTTTCCTCCAATCTGTCCTATTGTTTTGGGTGATACTTATATCTAAATAATATGTTATTTAAAAAAATCCAACATTACTCTTGAGTTCATAAGAAGTGGTCAGTTTTCATACACAGTGGGAAACTAGTTATGGTACTGTTTAATTCTTAGGATTAAGGTACTCCGTTAAGGTGCTACTTCACCTAATTTGGTGCAAGCAACCATACTCATATGCCATCTTTCATATATTACTGCCTTTGAAGTAAGTACTATGAATTTGGTGTTCATCTTGTTATGCTAATGACGCATATATGTGCCTGGTCCTACGTTGCAACTGACTGAATGTCATCAACATTCACTTCTTAAGTGTAGCTTAAAGTCGAGTACACAGACTTGTACTTAGTAAGTTGTTTCTATCTGCTGTTTAATCTGAATAGACGTTAACTTCAAGTGTTCCCAAATCAGAAAACGTAGTCGGGTTGATGATATAATTTAAATATTTATATTTTAAGCTACGAAGAAATCCTCGAGAAATCGTTAAAACAATCTGACCTTTACCCATATTCGAAGCCGAAGTTTTCCCTTAGGAACAAGTGAACTTACTTCAGCTACACGTGTTTCACAAGCTATACGTAATTGTTCTGCTTCATTCTTCACACGATTCATTGCCAAATCGTTCATTTCTTCAGTAGATGATAGCTGTTGACGAAATCTCTCGTCCATAGCTTGCATTTGTGAATGTAATGTACTTGTAAAAAAGAACATATATTAAGTGACATGTGCGCATCGATGCAAATAGTTTGTTTAAAATAATAGGCAAACTAACATATTTATCAAATAAGTAAGCGTCCGGTGTGTATTTTGCTGGCGAAGAAATGAAGATGAAAAAGAAAGGAATTTAGATTAAATTTCGTTATGTCAAGACACTTTCGTAATGCTCTTCTGTGAGAATGTTCTTAACACTGCCAAGAGGCTCATAGTGACTAATATCACAGCCGATTCCCGTATAATTCCTGGTTTAAATATTTAGTGACCCGTGGATCTGACTCCAATTTAGATCGTATAAATGATTGTTATCGCCTTTTCTCGTATATCATCGTCGACTTAAATCACGTTATCCAATAACGGAATTAAATAAGTCAAATAACGAGAATTGACCTGTGCATACACATATTTTGTATATGAAGCGAATGAAACAGGGCATAGCAAAATGACACGCAGGGAAGATGGCTGGGAAGCCAACTCCCCTTTAGTCAAGCGTTACTCAATATTTATAGTCAGACAAAATAAAGCTACAGACATGTGATTAATGGGATAAGAAGGGCACACACCTATACGCTCATATAAAAACAGTCTAGACTGATAAGCAAATAAATAACAAGGTCAAAGTATGGCTCAAGTAGAATGAATAGAATGGAATGTCCGAAAGCTAGAATAAGATATATTATGGGCTTAAAATAATGACTGACACTACAAATAACGTATCAATGTGTCTGATGGTTGGTTTACATTTCTAGCGTCCATCGGTTCTGTATGTACATGTAGGTTCGCTTTGGGGAC